TTTTTTTTTTTCTGGAGTCAGCGAAGGGGCTGGCTTTACACCAAGCGCATTTCAGCGTCGGTGCGGCGCCACAGGCTGCTGCTGCAGCATCCCGGTGTACTGCTTGGGAATTCCATATTTAATGATATTCGGGTGGCGAACGGAATGCTGCTGCTTATGGTCAACAATTTTTTGCGCCGCTCGGTGTTTCCACATGCGCACGGGACGACAACGACGACGGGCTCGCTTTTCTCCGCTGCCCCCTCCCTGCTCGCTTTCCTGATAGCTGCTACATTTCATCGCATCGAAGCCGACGCCACCGTCGATGATCACATTCCCATCCAAGCCAGTTCCCTCAGTTTTTTTCCTTGTTTTTTGGGATTCTGTGCGGCCGTCCGGTTATCAAGATTGGGGAATTGTGCTGAAAATATTTCTATTGATGAGCTGAAAATATTTCTATCCCGACTGCTGAACGAGCTGGCCGTCCGTCCGGGCGGGCATGGTTGCACTGATAGTGGTGGAACACGTCGAATAATGGGCCACGATCCGGCTAGCTGCGCTTCTCGCTCTCCCAAGCACATTTCACGCGCTGACATCAGCTCATCCGGTATCCTGATGCCAAAAACCCGCTGCTGCGGGGGGCACTGGCTTTGTCCAGAAAAATGAATGTCACGGAATGGGCTTTGCCGTGTCGTCTCTTGATTAAGACCTAACGCGGTTTCGAGTTTCGGGATACGCAGCGAATTGCACCCAGGCATTGGCAAACCTCACCTTAAGATACGTGCCAGCTGCCCCGATTTACAGCCTCTCCTGCAAAACATTCTAGAAATTCGCAAAGTTGGTCAGTGTCGCTTGCAATTCGATGCGGGGAAGAGTGGAATTTGGTGGTCATTTTTACGTGGTGACCACTGAGCTGGGCGGGAGAGTGTATGTTTTCCTGAGACAAAACAAGTACAGCCTGCTTCTTACTGTCCATCGTCCTCTATTTGAGTGACCAACAGTGCGATGCTTGTTGAAGTACTCGGAGCAGAGAACATACTTACACAACAAATAGCGCTTGTAGACCTGGGGAACAGTGTGACTGGTCGCGGCGGTGGTGGCGGCAGCGGCGGTCAGTTTTTTTATTTCAGGATGTTATTTTACGCCTTGCAGCACAACTCAAGCACCAGGAGCAGGAGCAGCAGCGTGTGGATGAGACGGGCGAGAGCAAGGCGGACGGTGGCAGGGGACACAGGAAGGAGACAGCAGCACGAGGCACAGTGACACATTCGCTTTCTCCCGTTATCGGTGTCGTCGTCCACGAATAATGGCACAGGAATGACCTTCTCTTGATCGTCCCGTCAGCGCGCCTGTCCTTTTTGCTCCACCGAACTTGCTAGCTTCATCATTTGTGGCTCGAAGGAACCGCTGTTGTTGGTCTACGCAGCTCCGCTTCGTCCTAGCACATCATGGACTCGCCGCTTCCTGGATCATGCACGAAGACGCACGGGCTTCAGAAGAAATGTCTTTCAGAATGGTGTTTCTCCTGGAGCCTGCGCGTCTTCCAGAAGTTTCCTTTCCTGGACACCAATGCTTTTCTGGAGTATTAAGAAGCGTGATTTTACTGGCTGACGTCGTTTGCTAATAACCGTTACCTCTGTCGAGGATCCCTGACCGTTGCTTCCGTTTCGTGACTTATTTTTCAGAAAATTTTCCGTACTTGCTAAAATTACCGCTAGATGATGTTACAAGTTGCGTTGTATATTGCGGCCGATTCCTTTAAATTAGTACCATTTTATTTTCAATGCATTATTTTATGGGTGCGCTGTTAGGATGGGAAAGCTGGAGTCGGCGCCAGCACTGTGCTTATTCCATCATTGGGTACGAGGGGAATGTCAGTGGGTTGTTTCAACCAATAAACGTCTCGAGGTCATCGGTGTGTGGAAAAGAGAGGGAAATTGAGGCATAAAACCGCAGGGAGTCTTTGATTCAAATTAATGATACGAATTTCGGCAGTCCACTTTTTATGCGTTTTTGCCTACATGCAAGTTGCAACCCAGGCTGGAACGCACCAGGCGAGCCGGTGCTATCATGCGTTTTTGCATCAAACTTTGAGGTACTCCATC